AGGTAGGTACCAACACAAAAACCGTTGCAAGTCGTTCGTAGTTTGTACTTTGACATCATAACGTATACGCGTCCGAACATTACACATTTATTATCATTATTTCACTGTTGTACAATTGTAGGTACATTTTATACTTGAACTGCCTTGTTGCATTATTACTTCCAATCTGACAAACTGTTGTGTATGAAACATTATTGTTACCGTAGCCGGTAGGTCAATGTGAATCGAATTGCATCTAGAGAAAGGGTAATCGTACATCCATGATTATTTTTGAGATCACTGTCAATAATTGTAATCAATATGAAAATAATTTGTTTTAATTATGATATAGGTACTGGAAAATTGAGAATTAACAGTAAATACAATTGCATTAGTAGATCAGAGGTATTATATTATTTATTTGTATATTATATACCGGGTAATCAATTTAAGGTAAGTCACTCATTATTTAAAAACTATTAACGTTCTTGAAAATAATTGTTTCACATAATTGTTTTTATTATTGATTTAGCTTTTAGTATTCAGCATTTACATAATTATTAGTCGTCAAAAACAACATTTTAAAAAAATTATATTTACACAATTATTGTCTTTTTCTAGAGATTAAATACATTTTTAATTCCTTTTTAAAAAAAAGCTTTTTTCGGAGTGCTTCGACTACTTTGATGCTTGATACTTAAATATTGAATTTTTAACGAGTAGGTAAATAAGTATTTATTTAAAGATTATACGACTATATGAGCGGAGTTGTAAAACAACTTGGATGATCAAATGTCAATAATATTAATTTACCACTAATATAATATTGGTCATATACCAGTATCATATATACGAGTCATGACTTGTAAGATCTTAATGCGTCCTGTTCTCCGAAATTTTAAAATTGCATTTCCGTTAAAACTTTGTTTCACGTTTCCGTAGGTGATAGTGATATACATACATAAAACAACCTCTCATTTAAGCACAATATTACAAAAGTTGCAACTTACAAAATACAAAAGTAATCAAACTATCATACACAAATCGAATAATATGGCCATGTAGGTATTATGCAATATGACGTGTCTCGTACTCGAATCAAATCTAGTCAAAATAATAGTTGGCTAAAAACAGCTAATATCTACCTATTAGGTATGTTCAGTGCTGAAGCCCGAAGAGACATCTATTTCTAGCAACTATATGATCTTGTGCATCGCCATATTATGGTATCATGACTAAATAATTTACTAGAACTCAGTAAAATATAAAAATGAGATTAAAACAGAAAAGCTACAGCATTAACTATATTTTTTTGTATCATATCGAACTGATGAATTTATAAAATATAATAATATCAACAAAAAAAAAAATTAGCTTAATATAGGTAACATACAACAACAATATTATTTATCTATATTCTATATAAGTCATAATAGTATTTGAATTTCGCAGTATAACAATCTTATAATGTGTCTATAACTTTTTTTTCAACTATCGTTCGAAAAGCTGTAACTCGATTCGATGATACTTTTTTTTTTGATTGGTGCCTATATCAAGCGCAGCAAAATAAGCGTCGGACGAATCGCTTCGTCCTTTTCCACGTTGAGCGGCGCTCATTGCGTTCAATCGGTGCGGTTACCGAGTCCTTCACACCGGTGTGTTACTGCAGGCTTCTGCATCAAACTCGCGTGCACTGCTGCAGCGGGGTTTAGTTCGGCTGTCTTAAAACTCGGACATCTCGATCGAAACTCAAGCCAGGATGTCGGTGTCCAGGACGAGGTCGGCCGAAGCGAACCGCGAACTGCTATATTATGTCCGACGTCGAACTAGAACGGCGTCTAAGCGGGCCCGCGAGATCGAGGCTTGACGCACGCTGCACATCCGTTTCGGCCGGCCGAACATGCAGCGGTTAACCAACGAAATGTAGTAACTGAACTAATATATAGACTGGCATAATTTTCCCCTATCATTTCGGTCGGACCACTTGACGGCTCGACCGAAACCGTTTACACGTTTACCGGCTCATCCTGTATCGACGTGGCTTCAGACGGCAAAGACCGCGACATCGGATGCGTCACCCGCAGGAGCCGTCTGCACCACGATGTTCGGCATTGAACTGTATCCCTTGGTCGACGGAGCATTGAATGACCGTGGCTTATCTTTATATCTCGGCACCACTTTGTGGTATATTGCCTAGTATGATGAGTATGAATTATCTTTGAATAGAACCGTCAAAGAAACTTAATAAGTAAGTAGGCCTATAAATAGTTCAACACGAATCAAAATATTTTGAAAATGTTTTGGTGTATAGTAAATGCTTACACCAATATTCAGTGAAAATTTCATGTATCTATAGATAATAATTAAATAAATAAGTTTTCAAATGAGATTACCTAATAGTACTCATTATATAAGTTATTACCAATCGTTGTGTACCTACTGTCTAGTAGCAGTAAAATAGAATTACCTAAAAAAAAATGTAAATAATAAAATGTTATTTGACGTTTTATATTATAAATAGTCATAAGAATAACTAATAAATAGTAATGGTATTTACTCTTTGGCCTTTATAATAGCTGCTGCAGATGAATATGGAAATGGAAATATTTTTTTTATTATTATTTTTTACCTAATTAATCAAGATCTTGAAAACTATCGGTCTAAATAAATTCGGGCTGTATATAGGGACTATGTATAATATATATATAACATATATAATGGGTTTGTACCGTGTATATATTTATTAGTGCATCATTATATGAGGTAGTAATCATATTATGAGTATATAGTAACCATGTTTACAATAATACAAGTTAATGTGATCACCTATTTTATAATTCTTTCCAAGTGTAAAGTAAATTACTTTTGGTAAATTTTAAAACGTACAGTAACCCGTATGGTTTGTTTGTATTCCTACATGTATACACTTAGATAATAGTATACAAATTATATTGTGCGATAACGGAGCAAATTGTAATTTAACGGTCATGTCACAAATCACACGTGCACGATGTTGAATTCGGTTTTTAATTGTTTTATTTAAAAATTTGTTCCGAGTCTAATCGCAGTTGACACAGAACAAACACGATTATTTAAAACGAAATAAAATACCATGTTAAATATTTATTCACTAGAATCTCATAATATATATATATATATTATACACAGTTAACATGGGTTGGCATTCAACGGTCATTACTCATTAGTTGGCAAAAACTTCAACCACGTTGATACTATTTTATACTTATTATTTATATCATATTGTTACTTCGCTAATCATACCTAATCGCTGGTACTTTATTATTAACAATAAATATATTCAATGATTCCATTCAACAGTAACAAAATCTTTTTCATTCATTGCACGTATAGACACAGAGTCTCATATTTATTGGAGCGGCCCTCATACTTTTTTTGATAATTTGTAATGTTTTTGAATATTGTAATTATTTCAATGCAACATTAAATATATTTTTTTATAGAATCAAACATAAAATGTAAAAAAAAGTCATAATATTATATACATAGACGATGGACCTATTAACTATGGACCGCTCATTCCACCTCCCTTAAATGTATCCCTCTTAATTGTATGACAACTGGATATTGACTGAGAGAATACGAAATAACAAAACAATTATCATATGATGACATCACTGATGGAGTTTTCGAGAGACCTAAGAAAAAATCAATGAAATTTAGTGTAACATGTAATTTAAACATGTATAAAATAAAATATACCTATATTTGTTTAATAAGATAATTAATAACTTTATAATATATAACCATATTGGCATCCGAAAAATTGACTTGTATAATGTATATTAGGTACATATCCTAGGTAAAATAAACATTTAAAATGTAACAGTTATAAATCTACGTTTAGATAACCCGTTGGCCGTTGTATCTACCCATGTTCAGTAAAACTTAATTAATAAATAATAATAACAATATTTTTTTTTTAAATAACTTTAAATATAGCATTTATAAGTGAACCAACTGTTTGAGAAACGACGTAAGTCACAAAATATCACAAATTGAGATATTGAGTGGAATGTGTTATCAAATGATAGACGGATCATGACGTGTACCTAAACATTTGCAAAAAAAATATTTAATTTTTTACCATTGTAAATAATCAATATGAAAGAGAGAACCATGTATCACTGGTAGCGTAAAAACAGTTTTTTCTTGTTTTCTCAAAATTACCTTTTATGGATTTACGTCGTTTCTCATATAGGTGGTTCAAGTGTGATCCACTGATAACGATATTATTTGTTCTTAAGCTGAATTGTATTTTTGGGCGCCCGGGAATTGGGCCACATTTTAACTACCTGTTTCGTATAAAATATTTGTTTCTATATTTTTAAAGTGTACCCGGAGATTGGACCATAAAAGTATAGCACACAAATATACTATTAATACTATTAATACTAATTATTATTTTTTTAATATATAAAAATACAATTCTTGTAATGATATGAAAAAAACATTTTCTAATAGGTACTTAAAAATATAATACAAAACAATTAGATACATAAAGTCAGTCAAATAATAAATAATATGAAATAATTTGTATTGTATTAAATATTATTTTATTACAATTTAAAATTTTAGTGGCCCAATTACCGTTTACCTTTGGAAAAAAAGGTGAATTGTGGCCCAATTCCCGGGCGCCCGTATTTTTGATATTTTTTAATTGTAGTATAAACAAAACTTATGTGTAACCTTGTATTAATTATTCAAGGTTTTTTAATCATAATTATTATACAAATATTTTATCATACATAAAACAAAATAAACTAAAAAGGTTGAAGCGCTCAATACTTTCTATAAATATCACAAAAAAATTAAATCATGTCTATTAAATTCATATATAAATATTTGGTGAAAATTTCAAGTCTCTTTAGTTATTCAATATTCACAATTAAAATTCAAAATCAAAAACAAAATTAATTTTGTCATAAACTGGTTTAGCGTAAAAATTCCCATATTTAAAAACATAGTCTTAAATTTTTAGGTGGTTTTTTTTTTTGATATTTCAATTATTATTAAGTGAGTTATAAACATTTTAAAATTGTAATATTTTACATCACTTCAAAATTAAAATACAGGAAAAAACTTTTAAAACCGAGCGTACACCAATGCGGGGAAAAACAAGTGCCATGACAGTTCAACACACTTCATATCCACAGCAATAACCTGCCCACCCCTTTCGCACACCTGAGAAATACGAAGGTTATTACTGCATACAAGAGGTCGAGGCAGTCTTTTTTAACTGCATTGATGTGCGCCCGGCCTAAAAGAACACGGATAATGTTGTACAATTTAAATTCGAATATAGAATAATTTGATAATGGGATAATAGGATATTTAATTGTACCTAGATCATTTTTTCTTTTAACATTTATTTGAATACATACAATCTGTAAAATGTTAACAATAATCATATGCGCCTAAAAATAGGCAATAAATGCTCGAGATGAGTAGCTATCCAGCAGTAACAGTCGTCGACAGTATACATTTTTAATAAGAATACAAATACATCTTCAACATTACACTCGTAAGACGATCGTGGAGCCAACAAAAAAACATGCGTGTGACGTATGTTGGGTAATACCTGCAAATAAATTAAACAATTTTATTAGCTACATGAAATCAATGTTGATCCCCTCCGACTTCCGGGCTCGTAGGATTGAGGAAACTACATGAGTGCGCATATTAATTATAATACATTAATACCTACTTGAGTACAATCTACCGAGAATAAGTTAAATTAAATTACGAATTACCGTGATTCATAACTGGGAAATAACGAGGTAAATGTCTGCGGCTATGTCTATGTTAATAAATAAACCCAATACGACTTGAAAAGAATATTAAGTAGCATATTTTGAAGCATAGACTGCAAGACACGAGCTATGTATTTCAGTCGCTAGCGACGTTTGCGGCACGAACCACATACATAATATTTTTTGTCACGCATCTGCCACGCTAAAAAACGCCTCTATCGATATTATGGTAATAGTCCATATCAATCAACTTTTCTTCTCGCATTTCAGTACCTAGATTTGACCGACTGTTTCGCACAGAACCGCACAGGAATAACCCACCGGGGAGGGGGGGCAGCCCTGCCCCACTGACCTCTCCTATACCAGTTACTAGTTAGTAATATAGACAATAGTAATATAATATAATAAATTGTTTGTAATGGATAAAAGGTAAAACGTAGATATCGATAAGTTCATACGAATTAATTTGATTTTGACGGTAACGTTGCCAAACATTGCGTGCCTAGCTGCATGGTATTTCCACTTTTCCGACCACTGCGTAGCGGGATTCCCACTTTGATGCCTGCCGGCCGAATAAAAATCGTTTGAGCCGCAGAACTGAAAAAGATCATTTTCCATAATATACATCAACCGGAATCGAAAATTAAACTTTCAGGGTTGCAAAAAATATTCATCTCTTACTCGTTAACACACACATCATTATAAGACATTAGTTTCAATATTACTACTAATACTAGCCAATTTTCACCCAAAACTAGTAAGACAATTGTATTATTAATTACTATTAAAACCTATTGTTTTAATTTTGAAAAATATAGACATTAAGAAAAATAAATAAATAACATATTTGTTGATTTTTTTTTTTTGAGATCCCGTGGCAACATAAACCATTAGGTGTGGGGTGGTATGGTTAGGGTTTTTTTTTATATATATTTAGTAGGTTAGTATGGTGTTAGGGTTGAAACACGTTTTTTCTGTATGTGTTGCTATACAAACCCGGGTGGTCATCCATCCGAGATCTAGCAACGTCGGCATTAGGGGAGTTTCCCGAGTGCGTCCCGAAATGTACATTTTTTAATGTTCCTAGTGCGTCCATAATAAGGTATCATCCGAGTGCGTCCCAAAAAAAAAGGTCATATTTTTTACATAGCCCGAATGCGTCCTGTTCATTTATAATTACCCTGGGTGCACCACGTGGAGGTGAACTGCCTTACACCCCAAAAATATTATTTTTATTATAATTATTAGAACTAGCTTACACGGTTAAGTTTAAGTTAGCGTACAATTTATTAAAACGTTTTTTGTTATTATTATATATTTATATAAGCTGGTGTTTAAATGCTATTCTTTTGAAAAAATCGAATCTTGTTATTTCATTATTATTAAATTGTTTTATATTGTCTTCGATGTATAATATTTTCTTGCACGTACTTTGTTTTGGTTTTTTTGTTGTTTGTGTGGCCGTTCGGATTGCTATTTTAGTATCGATTTGAATTTTTTTTAATATTTCCAAAAATGTGTATAAAATAACGAGTTGTACTTGGAATGAATGCTTTCACAAGCATTTGTTGTCCTTTCAGAACTTCTATTCATTTTAGCCCACATGGAAATAGGAAATTTTACTCCAGAATCTGTATAATTTTCTATTATATTATCCATAAATTCGTTAAGTTTTTGATGTTTTGGCATTATAAATATAAAATCTTCAATAATATAGTTTTCTGAATCTACTTGATTTAATAATGGTAAGCCAAATAGATTAATTAAAATTAATTTCCCACCGTTTCCAGTGTTCAAATATCTTAAATAGATACCTATAGCAACTGTGGACCGAGGACGCACTCGGGCACTGTAATATAATTTGTCGATAAAACGGCGGACGCACTGGGACTATGAAAAAGGTAAAAATTAAAAACGGGACGCACTCGGGATATCCCCGGCATTAGCGTACACTCAAAGCGCTTCTGAAAATTGAGCGTAGGTACGACCGCGCTTCACCAAGCCACTATTTAATATTACAATGTATGATATGTATAGGTAACAAACCTTAAAATTGTGAATTATTGGTCGTTTAATTCGATAAAATTTCAACACCAAAAATATCCTCTCTTATCGGCAAAGAATATCATTGATAATATGTTATCTTTTTTTAACCATGTAGGCTCTTTGATTTAATTTCTTCTTGCCCTTTTTTGTAAATAGCTTATATCTTTTTCTCCTTTCTTTTTTTTTATTATAAAAGCCGCTAGTATAAACTATGATAGCTTGACAATTACATAAGATTATATCTTATTACTCATGGTTTGAACTTGCTTGTTTATACTTAACTGTTGAAACCAATTATAAATAACAAAAGTTAAATTTAAAAAAAAAATTCGATAAAAGTTCTAAATACATTTATAATCAAATTTGCAATAATTGTTCTGTTCCCCGTCAAGACTCAGCCACATCGAGTGTCACTGATTCGACTGACATGTACATAATTTATTAGTATCACGTTCGTTGGACTTCAGCATCTGTTGTAAGGTCAATATTAATATTATTAGGAATACCAACTACTGTAAATAATAAGAATATTATATCAAATAGTATATTATGTATTTAATTTTTTTAATATCAAAAAATAAAATTTACCTAGATAATATACCGACTTCGTTATGTTACAATTAGTTTTTTACACTTATAATGTTTTAGTCTGTAGACTGTAAATATCCTTGACTGTCTCTTTTTCTTACATGTTATTCATATTTCAACCACTTTCAGTATTATAAATAAATGTATAATAATGTTATTATTATATTATTCACCTGTACCTACCTAATTCATAGTTTATACAATTATACCTAGTGACCTACACTTGATGTATTGCAGTAGACTGCGGAATTTCAATATTCCCATGACGAATTCTTGGTGTTTTATGATATTAAAACCTTTTTAAAATATTTTTTTCGGAAAGACGGAAAAACTGTTTTTATTTTATTTTTTTATCGAAAATCTGTATTCCATTACATAAAACCATACACTTTAAATAATTAGAACATAGAAATTCTTGCTTCTTAACTACTTTTACTATAGATATAACGTATATTAATAATGACTATATATTTGATACTACCTATTGTACTTAATGTCAATTTATTCATCGAAAAAACATCAAAGCATATCAAATACTATTTATGTTATCAGTGAGATTTAGCCAATAGAAATTTTTTATGAAAATTGGATGTCACCACAATGTTTATTTTCTCACTCAGATCCACCACCCACGAGCAACATGAAAAAAACGCTTTTAATTAAAATTGTTTTTTATGATTTTTGAGTAATCTTAGAGTAAAATCAACTATATTTTATTATTATTTGACCCTGTATTCTACTCTCAAAGAAAAAATAAAATATATTAATTTAAATAATGAATAAATTATTTCGAGACAATATTTAGACAAATCAATTTGTCATACCCTCTAAAATATTATTCTCCGTCATTTTTTAATTGGATAATTTTACTCTAAGGTTACTTATAAATATAAAAAAATTGTTCTTTAGTCTATGTTGAGCGTGGGTCTAAAAGAAAAAACAAACAGTAAGCAGAAATCATCTGAAGAGGACACCATAATATTATATTTTCTCAGTCTTACGAAAGAACAACATAACACATTTTTATTCAGAATTTCCAATTTTGTGTAATAACTTTCAATAATAGAGAGAATTGACCCATTGGCTATTATCAAACTTAAAACCTGTTTAATGTGTACATACTCAAGTATGAAGAATACAATATATAATTTACTAACATTTACATTTAAAATTATATCATTCAGACACATTATGTTTATAATATTCGTTATTTCAATATTTAACATATTGATTACAAACTTATACATTGTATAACACTCACTTCGATACTCTGCTTTTCCGCATTCGACAGCAAGTTGTAAGAAGTATATATTTAAGTCAAATTTGTGTCGCCATTCCTGGATTTTCAATACTATTTCGCTAATCTAGATTTAATTTTAAGTGACATTTTTATAAATCATTTAGAGTAAAAAGTGAATGTTTGTACGTACGTGGTACATTTCTAAAACTATAATATATTACATTTTTACTATGTTGAGTAACGACTGAATAATGAGATTATTTTTAATTTAAGTAATAAGCATACGGTTTAATCGTAAAAATAATTAGGTCTCTTATTAAAGCCAATGTAGCACAGTCTTTCTCTCTCTCTCTCTCTCTCTCTCTCTATGTTTAAAGTTTAAAATATATTTATTTACCAACTATACGTCTATACATGACAGCGAAATAGAGGGGTGAAATGTAGTAAAGGCAACCATGGACTAGATAATATATATTCCTATATTCGTGGTGGTAACTGACAAGTACCAATGCTAGGTATGTATACATATTATTATAATCTATATTATATAGGAACGGAAAACCCATCAAACGGGTCAACACATATATTCAAATTATATTATAATATTATTTCAACATCAATAAATATTATATTCTACAAGCATTAGCTATACTAATTATGAATAATGCATTTCATTACCATATTTGAACTGGTTTAGTATTTCTAAGAAACGTAATTATTTTTCCTTAACAATTAATGTACGTTACTCAGTTGAGCACGGTAGTATATCAATTACATTCAAATCAATAAACTTCATACGCAAAATACGCGTAAAACCTAGTTTTACAGAAACACGTAAACACCGCCTTTCGTCAAGATTAATTACAACACGGATTCAGTATCCGCTTACATTTCGATAACCGTTGTAGCGTCTTAGATGTCTACTATTATACATTTCTATTCTGTACACCTTGCGTGTATGTGCCTAATTATTTTTGAAAACTCAACGAAAAATAATCATTATACTTCAAACGTATGGCTTATGTGCTCAGCGCAAATAGTTAATACATAGACTGTTGGCTTGCGAGATAGTGACAACAAATCCCAGTAACATGGTTTTGTTTGAAATGTTAATGGTTAATAAGTAGTAGGTACCTATGTACCATCGACATTTAACAAATGGATACTAGTATAATATATTACTTCACTGAACATACACTCTTACAACAACATTACTGTAGAGGAAACGATGGTCTCACTCATAAGCTTCTGAGCAATAGAGAAATTAACATTTTCACAAGAGTGAAAGAAATGAAACCATGTTGTGATTAATAGTGGTATCAGTGATTTGGGCTTTTACGGATTTGTATAAAATATCACATCTATAAGTTTAATAATTGAGTATCAATGTCATGG